AACTTCAAATAGGGTGAACATAATCATGCCACACACGCACAGACGAACAATCCTTACATACAGAAAAGAAAACAGCCGAAGATCCGCCCATTTTACCACGTTTCAGGGTGTTCTGAGCCCAGAAATGTAAAACTCTTGAAAGTTTACTATTGGAACGATTGCCATAATTTCTCCTGAATATTAACACCCGGAAAAGTAATATTATCCTCTCCCTCCCTTCCTGCGTGGATAGTCCCTAATTACTAAATAAAGTTGTGTGTTGCGCCATCTGTTGCGAGATTTTGTTATAAAATAACTTACATTTTTAATTATTACTAGATAGGTGACATCGAGAAACCGGAGACGATGTTTATCTTATGCCTATTTATACTCTATTTTATGCCGCATTTCTCCTGTCGCAAAAGTTGGTTAAATTCTATCTATTTATTTTAGTACAAAAATAAAATCAAAGTGTCCACACCTTGAATAAATGACGAAGTCCACATTACTCCAGTAGCTTTAATTGACAGCTAGGCAACGTCATGCCATCTAGTGGGGATGAGGGACGTAAATTTGGTTCCTTTCTCTTGAAACTCGCATAACTTTTCCGCAGTTCGACTGAAATTCACCAAAGTCTGAAAAAATGTCAAGCAACTGTCTGGCTTTATATTGCAAAAACAACTCNATACACTATAGACTATAATAACAAATATACTGTAAGATAATACAATAAATTATTGATAGTTAAAAAAGCACATTGTCAGGCCATTAACGAACGCATGACTTACAAAGAGAATTTAATTATGAATTAAACTCACTGTATAACACTTATGTTAAAAACATCTTAACTAAAGGCTTGAAAACAGTCCTATAAAAATTAATTATGAAGAATACTGTACTGTACATAGTTAACTTAGAATACATATTAAGTAAACTACAAACCGATCAGCAAGAGCAACTTACAATTAACCTTTAACGTATTATAACAAATAACAAAATTAACTATAAAAATAAACTCTACTCTGCTAAATTCAATAATCAAATAACACAAGTTAAAACGTTCCTAACTGATAATCAATAAATTTTTGTCCCCACTGATAAATGAACAAAAATTTTTATAATGGATAAGCAAAAGTATGAAAACATTAAACTAATGTTAGTCACTTCACATCAATACACTGAGCTAAATGAAGATCCTACATCACACATACCTGGAAACTTAAAATTACTAAGAATTTTAAAAAATCTAATATTAATATAAAATATTAATAANGGGCTTCGCCTAGGCAATGAAATAGGAAGTAGCTTAATTTTGATGGTAGGAAGTTTTATAAAAAAAACATGTAAATGTAAGTAAGAAAAAAATCTTCATTAAGTCGTACCCATGTCGAGATACACGACCATCCCTCTATCTCCCCATCCTCTCGATCTTTCTCCACCAAAATTAAATAGCCTCAGTACCAAATTTCTTAACCTTTACCCACCCCATCCTAAAATATTAAGCGAAATAGGCGCAAACACACACACACACACACACACACCCATGCATATTCACAAAATTTTTCCCTTTTCTTTGACTTTGTTGATTCTGGTCTGAAAACCTACAGATTTGCACACAAATTAGGAAGGTCAAATTTAACACGATTCTAATACTTTCTCTTGTTAAGTATACGTAATAGCCGGGAAAGTTAAATATAAATTTACAAATAAATATGTTGAGTTATAAGCATTTCTTTAGAATTTTAAAGTACAGTAATTCAATTATTTGTTCTCTTTTTACGGATTTAATGTTGATAAATCCCCATTGTCAAATCTTGTCAGTGGATTTTCTGGTAAAGTGTTATGGCATTCCGGTAACGTAACAAGCGCAATGTTTATCAAACTGTGGTCCGTGGATCATTCGAAGTCCGAATACAGGTGAATCGCGTAGTAAAAGTATGACGTCATTGCTCTATCATATGGTGCCTCCAAAGTTCAGCCGAAGTAGTGTACTACAATTACACACATGCCTACGTCCAACACGAAAGCTTAATAATCCTACTTTAATTCGTAAACAAAAAACTATATTTAAAAATGAAGTCATTTTAAAAAATTAAAAAAACATATATCTGCGAAATGAAACTTTGTGTATTTCACGAACTTCCGGAAAAAGTTCTCGGATAATCATCAGAGATGTGAGGTAGTGAAATAAGTGACGTTTATAGGTAGTCACGTGACCGAGTTTTGTCGGAGAAACCACGTGACACGCGTCCTCCGTACCCATTCATACAGAAAATCTTAGGCAATGGCATTTCGAACGTCACACACACGGTAAGTAGCCCAATACTTTTTTGCTTGATAGCGTTTTTATGTTTGTCCGCAGGAAAAAATTCTGTGTATTTTGGAAATGAATATCGGATATGTACTGTATTTACAAAATAAAATTAATAGATAACGCGTGATGTAGGCTTCTATACTTTTACCTGTGTATTAATAAACTTAAAGATATGACTACGTTAATACCTATAATAATAATATATTGGCACATACGCAGTTTAGGGGGTACAATCGCTCTCAGTGTGAACTAAGCTTAAACAACACGTCAGACACGACGTCATTTCCGGCGAATTTCGCCAAACGCTTCGAAGTTCGGAACTGCAGAACTTTTTCGCTAGCGAAAAAATTTCACTACCAATCAGATTACCGTTAATTGTCACGTGGTTCTTCTTGTTTTCAAGATGGCTACAAAAATTTTCTCACGCAATAGAGTAAATGTTATAATTACGGATTTTTAACATTCCTTCACCGAGCTTCGTTTTCTTTTCGTCTTATCTTTCTTTTTCAATAAATAAACAATTATGGTTAACGACTGAAGAGCGGAAGCGGCCATTTTGTTTTTAAACATTATGTTTTCGCTTGCTAGAAATTGATTGACTGCTTAAAATTCGCAATCAAAGTGAACAACAAACACAAGAAAAATAAGGAAAAGAACTATAAAATTACCACAGAAATATGATTACGAAATGCAAATTGCATACTGCTTATATTCTGATAATCCAGAAACTTATGAATAGGCAGTTGAGTCAGGGAAAGATGCCATTGAAAAGGAACTAGAAGCTTATCTAAAATTTGGCACCTGGACTAAAACAACACTTCCAACAGATAAAGATCCAATAGAAACCAAGTGGGTGTTTCCAACAAAATCAGATGGAACAAGGAAAGACCGTCTCGTTGCAAAAGGATATCGGGAAAAAGAATTTAACAATTCATATGCACCAGTAGTAAAAATATCAACAATAAACGGTGCAGTCGTTGGGAACGGATGCGCGTTTTGAAGCTCTTAGTTTTTCGACGATTGTGGCGGTTCTTTTTGTTTGGTGACAAAGTGTTATATATCAATAGACTTAGGATAGTACTGTATCTGTTCTTATCTAGTTGGGAACAGAGGCGTATGTCCNCTGTTAATCGTATTAATCTTTAAAATTACTGTTATTTGTGTGCGGTGGTAACAGAACATTTTGCATTTAATATATATGAGGCGTTCTTCTACTTTCGTATTTCGTACTTTCAATTTTTATCCGTACACATGGCAAAAAGCACGTATTTTCATGTAATGATTCTCACCTTTTCATGAACTATTAGTCACCAATCCTTCCACATCTCTCCATGTCACAAGTTCGTGATAAATTGTGTCTTGTCAGTTTGTGTTAGGACGTGTGCTATCACTTTATATACATATCTGTTTTGGTGAAAAAATTCGCCATTACTAATTCGTCCGCACGAGTGAAAAACGATAAAGCATCAGTGTTGATACGGACAAAAAGAAATCGAGGTCACATAACCTCCGTACGATCGAGAGCGTACATCTCGTGTATGAAAGGCAACAGAAAATGACACAGCATGATACGGAACTCTTTACCGAGAAAAGAAAAGAAAGAGTACAATTCAATTACCTCTTGACAAATTTATACAAAAAGTTCCAGATACTAATCAATAAAACATAAATATTTTGAAAAGCCTTTTTGATGATTTTTTTACATTGCCCTTCTTTCGTACATTTAAACTTTGAAATACCTTTCGGGAACAAATTAAATNACTTTTTGGTAAAGTGATAGTTTTGATTTTGGTTGGCGGTAATGGAACATTTTGTTTTCAATATACATATAAAACAAATATGGATAATATAATATAATATAATATTATATTGCATTTTTATGCATGAAATGCTGCTAAAAAGGGGGAAAAGGGAATGGGAACGGGAACAGATTACTCCATTTTACATTTATTCTTAAGGGAAAATTTGTTTTGGTTTGAGAACAAATCAGTTTTTGAACAACTTTTAGGAACAAATTAAGTTCACAAATTGAGGTTTGACTATATTTGTAATTTTAACGTTATGAGTTTACAATGTGACAAAAAGTTTTAATTTAATGTTTAAAATTAAATTTAAATCGTAAATTCCTAAATTTTCTTAATAAAACTGCATTCTCTTTAAAATATTATTTTTCATCACCTGTTTTGTGTTTTTTATAATAATAATCTGTTAAAGTAATGAAATTTAAGTAATTTTCAGAATGTTAATTATATTGTTTAAATCAATTTATCAAGAATAAAGCTTCATTCATATCTACAGACACCGTACGTGGCAGACACGTAACAGCACAGACATAAAAATATTATTACATACATTTTCTATGGGCGTATTTACATATACCGCGCGTGAGCGGATCGTGTCCGCACAGACACGGGCCGGCACCGGCCGGCATTNGTTTCCAACAAAATCAGATGGAACAAGGAAAGACCGTCTCGTTGCAAAAGGATATCGGGAAAAAGAATTTAACAATTCATATGCACCAGTAGTAAGAATATCAACAATAAAGCTTCATTCATATCTACAGACACCGTACGTGGCAGACACGTAACAGCACAGACATAAAAATATTATTACATACATTTTCCATGGGCGTATTTACATATACCGCGCGTGAGCGGATCGTGTCCGCACAGACACGGGCCGGCACCGGCCGGCATTGTCTGCGAGAATGTTTTGTCTGTGCCGGCGCGTGTCTGTACATGTCTGTGGGAGTCGGCGCGGTTAGTATGAACGCCATCGTCGACATGCACAGACATTGCTTGTTTAAAATGATGAATCAAGAGAAATTAATTGAATTAGTTCGGGAATATACATTTCTTTATGATTTAAGTGATCGCAGGTACAGTGACAATCAACGAAAAGATGACGCGTGGAAAGAAATAGCAAAAAAACTTCAAGTAAGAGGTAAATAGAAATGTATTTAAGAAAAAACATTATTATTGTTTACATTGCTCCTGCAGGTGAATCAAAAAACAGAGCAAGTTTGTTTCTGACATCAAAAGCGGTAGATTGACTACTTCCGCCTTGTCTTGGTAAGCCTTTCAAATTACTAACTGCTGTATTTTCTCTGGCATGGGCGTTGTTATATTTTATAAAGTTGTGCAGAATACATGTAGTCATAATTACTTTGTCTGCATTTTCGGGTTTGAGTTGGATTCTTCTATTGTATAAACGAAACTTTTGTGCCAATTGTCCAAAAGTATTTTCTACTACCTTTCTTGCACGTGACAATCTGTCATTGAAATTTCTTTTGCACTGCACATGTGTTTGCGGCTGTGGGTAAGGTCGCATTAAATATGTTTTTAGAGGAAACGCTTCATCTCCTATAATGACATGCGGCATTAGTATTTCAGTGCCAGGTAGATATTTTTCTTCTGGTACATTTAAAGTATCTGCCGGTAAAGCTTTTCCGATGATTGAATTAGAGAATATTCCCCCGTCACTATTTTTGCCATACGCACCTATATCCACACATATAAATTTATAATTGGCATCAACGATTGCCATCAGTACAATTGAAAAAGTTTTTTTATAGTTAAAATAAAGAGATCCACTGTTAGCTGGAGCCGTTATGACGACGTGTTTGCCATCGATGGCACCAAGGCAATTGGGAAAGTTCCATACGTGCCAAAATTCCTCTGATATCTTTAACCATTTTTTTTTGGTAGGTGTTGGCATGCATTCTTCTGTCATTTCTTTTATGATAGCAGTACATACTTCTACAATTATATTATGCACAGTGCTCACACCAAGTCGATAACTGTACGCTATAGTTAGGTAGGAGTCTCCGGTTGCCAAAAATCTGCAATAAAATTAAACAAGTAAATTTTTGTTTCAGATTGCGACTGCAAGAAAACATGGGCTTTACTACGCGATGCATTCCGACGTGCCATAAAAAAGCGAAAAGAAACTAAAAGTGGACAAGCTAGTGTATCTAGGAAAAAATGGAAATATGAAGACGAGATGTCTTTTCTGTTGCCGTATTTCAAGGAAAGACCCACTATTGGCAATGTTCCAGCTAACCATACAGACAAAAATAGTGATGCTGAAGAAAATTGTTCTGATGAAGATAATCAAGCAAGGTCATCTTCTCCTGAAGCTATAATAGCACACTCCATTTCACCTCCAAAACGGCCAAATATTACCGAAGCAACTGTGACCCAGCCATCTACCTCTAAAAAGAAGCATTCAATTTCAGGACCTTCACAAAACTGTGCGCCAGTGCAAAACAGGACTAAAATTCGCAAAAAAATAATTTCGCGACCTATTTCCAGTGAGACTCCTTCAAACACGCTAATGAAATTTATATTAGAAAATAAAGCGAAGACCAATGACATTCAGCAATTTTTTGATAGTATCGCTACCACAGTTCAGTCTTTCCCTCCTCGAAATAGAGCAATAGCAAAAGCTAAAGTATTTAGAGTGATATCAGAAATGGAGCTAGACATTCTAGGTAGAGATTCAAGTACTCATTCTGAATATATAGGTTCGCCTGCATCATATGAAACGCAAATACCAGAACAACGAAACGATTTCTATAACACACCATCACCACATTCGCCCTCACCTGGATCAGTACAATGGAACAACATTTCTAATGATGAGTCAGAACTACAAGGGGTCAACAATATCCAAGAACCAGAAATACGACGACAGGACAACATACAAGAAACAACACCTGAATACTCATTACAACATTATTTTACTACATATGTCCCAGAATAAAATAAATTTTGTTATATCTATAATAAGTTTACCTGAACCAAATTTTGTACCAAAATCGAAAAAAGGGTAGTTGCAAGTACTCTTAGTAACATTTTGTAAAATTTACAATAAAGATCTTACCTCAAACAAACGGCTACTTTTTCTCTAGGCGATAAAGACTCCTTGAACTTTGTGTCTTGCTTAGTTATCATTGGTTTAATTTTAGTTACAATGGTCTCGAACTCATATTTACTCATCCTAAAATATTTCAAAAATCTCTCCTCATCGTCCACAAGCTCCTTGAATAATGTGTAGAATTCTCCTTCTTTCTTTCGTTTTACATTCATGGGATGAACAGCAAACCTTCTTTTTTTTAGTTGCTTTTCTACACAACCTGATTCTTCTTCTTCTAGTAAAATTGCCATCACGGCTAGTTCTTCTATCGAAAATTTTCGGAACATGGTTCGCGCGTGCACTCCCTACTATGCCTGAAGGCGTCTGTGCATGCTGGGTTGTAGATGTGAAAACTATTGTCTGTGACGTGTCTGCCACGTTACGTGCCGGCCACGCTACGTGCCTGTAGATATGAATGAAGCTTAAACGGTGCAGTCGTTGGGAACGGATGCGCGTTTTGAAGCTCTTAGTTTTTCGACGATTGTGGCGGTTCTTTTTGTTTGGTGACAAAGTGTTATATATCAATAGACTTAGGATAGTACTGTATTTGTTCTTATCTAGTTGGGAACAGAGGCGTATGTCCGAGCTCCGTCTTTGGACGAAGTTTAAGTGCGTTTTTCTTCAGTAAGTGATAAAGTGCAATATATCATTGGATTAGTGACGATTAGAAAATTATTTTGAGACCACTTTTTAGTGTGGGGGACTGTAACTTTTTGAGTTACGATCGCCCGAAGACCCCGGGTCTTCAGGACCGGCCGGTCGGAAAACGGATGCCGATCTACCAGATTTGGACTTATAAACTGATAATAGGACAATAAGTGAGTAGAATGTGAAATTTTTGGTTCATTTGGACAAATTTTAAAAGAGATATTCGAACTTAAAATTTGAGTGAAAGCGGGTTTCAAGCGACAGCATCGGGCCCGCTGTTAAAAGCAGTGAAAAAATTTTTAGTATATCGTAATGAGGAAAATATCAGCAATTAATGTTAAAATTTCCATCAAGAAATAACTAACGGTTAAAAAGATATAGCGATTTTAATTTTTGTTAACACCCGCCATTGAACCAAATAGCTCTCTTCGACGCTGGTAACCCTAGGCAACCGACTCGTTGCCGTGGATACCGGACCCATATTTCCCACGAGCGAGAAAATCAAGGTTCAGTTTGCCGCCTAAAATATTTCGCCGGCTACCATAGCAACGGATCTTCAAATGAAGGCCAAGTTAGATCATTAGGAGCCAACGACTAGCTCGCGGGCTACCGGAGACATCGACGTAGTATTATCAATAGATGTATCAAAAGCATTCGACAGGGTTAATAGAGAAATTTTATGGAAATTATTAGAAAAATATGGTTTAAACAAAGACGAAATTATAATACTAAGACAACTATACAGGACACCAAAAACAGTTATAAAAATTAATAATCAGATGACAGAAACTATTGAATGCAGAGCAGGAGTCCGTCAAGATTGTCCTTGTTCAATGATTTTATTTGTGATATATATCAATCTGTTGCTGAAGTATATAGAATGTAACAAATTAATAGGAAAAATGTATATCCCTGGATTAAAAAGAAACATAAAATTTATTAGTCATGCTGATGATATCAGCTTTTTTGTTACAAACAATTTCTCATTAGAAAAAATTAGTCAAGCCTTAAATGATTTCAGTATATTAACAGGGATGAAAATTAATATGGGAAAAAGCAAGTTATTGAAAATATATGGAAATATAGATAACATAAATTTAAATTATGAAAGAGTAGAAAGCATGAAAATATTAGGAGCATGGTTTGGCAAAAGAGCAAATGAAAAAAATGTAAACTTAATGTTTGAAAACATAAAAAATGCAATAAAGGAGTGGGATCATAAATGGCTCTACATGCCAGAAAGAGTAGTGGTAATAAATAAACTAGTAATACCAAAGATAGTATATCTGTTATATGTAACTTATTTAAAAAAAGATGACATAAAGAAATTAGAAAAACCAATTTTTAACTATATTTGGCAGAATAAATACAAACCATTAAATAGAAAGATAATGAAAAGTGAAGTTAACAATGGAGGATGGAACATCAAAGACTTAAAAGATTTTGAAAGTTCGCTAATCACAACTGTGTTAATAAGAAATTTGATAGAAAAAAATCACCCCCTTTTTTATGTTGCATTATACATATTAGGTCCGTTAGTAAAAAACATTGCTGAAAGACAATCGAGCTATCCTTTTATTATAAATAATAACAAAAAATATAAATTATGGAGAAGAAATATCGAAAAAATAATAAATAATGACAATGAGTTATTTGAAGACGTAAGGAGAATAAAACCAAATAGGATTTATAAGTTAATACATACACAACAGCTAAATGAGACAGTAATAAATAATAATGATAACTGGATAAATACATGGAAAAATATAAATACTTTACCTTCAGAATGGAAGGAAATCTCGTGGAGAGTAATACAGGAAGTTATTATGTGTAAAGAATTCTTACACAAATACAACAGAAATAGAGACGAACATTGTGTAAGATGTGGGCAAACAGAATCAATTACTCATATATTTTATATATGTGAACCCGCCAAAAAAGTTTGGGGGGTGGGTTAACCTCATCTGTAGAGTAAAGTTAGAATGGTCAAATATAAAATTTCATACAGGATATAAGGTTAGAAATCAAAATACATACCTTCTAAATTGGCTAATAGGTTTAACAAAAAGGAATTTATGGAAAGCTAGATGTTTACAGGTATTCGAAAGAAGAAAAATAAATCCCACTTTAATAGTAACAAAAATTAGAGAAGAAGCAAAATTAAAGTTAAAAAAAGATAACGAGAAACTAACAGATAATGAATGGAATATCTACTATAGAGGTACTGAAAATGTAATATGGAAAAAACAAGGGGACAACTTTATATTCAAGGATGAATGGTAAATGAAAATGATAAACGTATGTTATAGGAATAGACTACTTACCTAATTGAATAATTAGGAAACTAAAAGTAGTTATAAAATATAAAATGTATTAATGAAAGACTTTAATAATAATTAAGGTAAATAAATATGTATAAAAATTCTAAGATAGATATTGATATGTAAATCTCAACGATCCATAAATGGTTGGTTGTTGAGAAAAATGTATAGTTGGTAAAAAATGAAAAGTAATCGATAAGTTAAAATAAACTTATCAAATAAAATGTAAACTGTGACAAAACAATGGATTAAATAAAAAGATATGTAGAATCTCAACAACCTATAAAAGATAGGATGTTAAGAAAAATGTTTATGGTAAAAGTGAAAAGAAATAGATAAGTTAAAATAAACTTATCAAACATAATGTAAACTATGACAAAGCAAATGAATTGAATAAGAAAAATGTATTTATCTCAACAATCCATAAAAGATAAGATGTTGAGAAAAAGGTATTTGTTGAAAATGGAAATTGATAGATAAGTTAAATTAAACTTATCAAAATAAAATGTGAAAGGTGGTAAAACAAATAGATTAAATAAAAGGAAATTGTATTATTAGAGATAATGTAACAGGAAAACATGGTTGAAATAATTATAATATATTTTTACATATATATTGATATTATAAGTATAATCACTTTATTGAAGAGAAAATATGTAACGGATAAAAGTAAGAACTTATAATTAGAATAGTTGTACGGAATGTTAAATGTGAAGACTGTATAGGTACAAGTAATATATAAGAATCTATTTTTTGTATTTGAAAATATAAATGTTATTGAGCTTGTTGCTCCATGTAAATAAAAGAAAAAAGAAATAATAAACTTTAATTTAACAGTAAAAAGAGACAGACAGCCTATCGCAAAAGAAAGGGAAGATCATATCCAGAGTGAGGAAGAAAACAGTTTAGAAATACAGGATGGAGTGACAGGAAGTGTAGTGGAAGAACAAGAATCAGCTGAGGAAATGTCAGATAAACTTAAGAAATATACAGCGATAAGATCGGTGAGATTTACCTACGAAGAAAGACTAGATACTGTTACTTTAATAAACGCAATAGAAAACAAGTTAAAAGAAGAAGGGAGAGTATATCAAGTAAGTTTGATAAACCTAAGAAAATAGTAGAAATGGCACTGAAAACAGTAAAACAAAAAGATACTCTAGTAGGGCAACAAATACAGATAAGAGAGGGTCTATACACAATAGAAAGTTTAGAATCAGAGCTAATAGCTATCACAGTAAGGCATGTTCCGGGAGAGATAGACGAGGAAATGCTTAAACAAATCCTTAGTAAATACAGAAAAGTTTTAAAATGTGTACCCAAACTATCACCCAAACACTACAGTTAGGAATGGCATCTATGGTATTCCCATAGTAACACGTAAAAGAATACCAAGCTGCATAGATGCATATGGTAGAAGGATACAAATTTACTACTCAGGGGTTAGAAAGGAATGCTTAAGATGTGGAGATTTAGAGCATGAAATACACCAGTGCCCAATTAAACTATGCTTCAGATGTAAAAGCAAACTTCATTTAATTAAAGAATGCTCCGCGTGCTACAACTGCGGAATCATTCACGAGAAAGGGGAAAAATGTCCCAAGATATCGTATTCAGAAATCTTAACAAGAGGTCCTAGAAAACAAAGTTTAGAGAGGAAAAGAGAGAGAAGTGTAGACAAACTACTTAAAAATAAACTTGATACAGTAAAAACAGTAGTAAATAAGCCACAAGAGGAAGAAAAAATCTCAAACAAAGAAACAGCTAGAAAGGATAACTTAAATAATAAACAAGAGAGTAACGAAAGAGATACAATCGAAAAAAGTAAAGGAAGAGGAAGCACAAGAGAAAAAGAAATACTAAAACCCATGGCAAGTCCAAATACAAAAATGCAAGAAAATACTCCAGAAAGAAAAGGAAAAAGAAAAGTAAGTAGGGAACGCCAAGTAAAAGACAAAATTGCTAAGAAATCCACACTATGGAGTGAAATAGACCAAAGAACGGATCTTTCTGAAGGTCAAAAAACTATGGAGCTAAACAAAATTTTAAGGAAAATAGCAGAAGAAAAAGGAGTAAGAAGAACAATGTCAGTATCGGATTTATACAGATTTTCGAAGTCAACACAATCTAGCACAGATAATGGATAGTTACAGAAATATAAACTTAAGAAGCTTTAATATTACAGGTTTTAGAGATAAAAGGAAACAATATTGTTTATTAAACCTAACTTATATAGGTAAAGTAGATATTTTAATGTTACAGGACACAAACATTTATAATTTTGAAGAACTGCAAGCGTTAAGAAAGATATTTAATAAGTATAACATATATGCATCCTTTGCAACAAGAAGTACCGGGGTAATTACATTGGTATATAAACATATTAAA